TCATAACTCAGATTTTTACTTTTCGTTTTAGTTTGAATAATAACAGGTTAAATGAGTTTCTCAGTTTTTTTCGTTTTGCTTTTTCGCAATTTATTTCATAAAGATTTTTTTCTCCGGGCCAGTTTTTTTTTTGTGAAATTTCTTTTGACTTGCGCTTTTTCGTCAATGTGAATTTTCTATGTGTGCAATTTTTCTTTATTTTAATAGCATTTTTTTTTTACTACTAATCCCCACTGTATTCTCTTACAACGAACTTTTAACTTTGTTTAGGTTTACAGTAATTCTGCACAGCAGCAAATATGTTTTTTTCCCGCCAACTGATAGGGGAAAAAAGGGAATTTATGATTCGTTTTTTGCTTTACTTTTTATGCTGGGGGAAAGAACAACATTTAGAATTTTCCGTAAAATACTATCGTGGTTTATTCATTTATCATTAGACTTTACTTTTAAAATGCTGGTTTTTTTTATTGAAAAAAATGTTACTTAGTCCTCCCTTATCTGATTTCCATTTGCGACTGCAATTTGTTTATTAATATTCAGCAAAAAACTTTTGAACGTATTTTTTTTCTTAAAATATCAGAATTATAATAACGGCTTCATACAGCTTCATCAGCAGCTAAACTAAGTGTCCCTTAGGAAATAGTTTAGACGACAGCTTCATTAAAATGATCTATCGGGGGTAATAGTCTTTATCCTTTACGACTTTTTCATATAATTCTGTTGGGAATGTATATATTTAATAAATAAGATATTTCTTGTAAAGAGCTATAATTTATTTTATTGAAAGCTACAGATATGGCATTTTTATAACTCTGTTGATAAGATTAAGATGATAAAAATATTCTTACTTTATACTTAAGATTAAATTAAAATTGTGTTTAATAAGAAATTATGCTCCTGTGTTTTTCTAGAAAAATTATCAAATTCAAAATCTTCTCTTATTTCATATTAGGAAATTTATTTATCAGTTGCACAATTATTGCTCATAGAATTGTTAATTGATCGTAGGAAAAATGAAGCAAATATTCGAAAATAAATATATGACAAGGGATTTCAAAAAATGATTTTTCCTGCTTATAACCAAGCAATCTGTTTTAAATTATTTTTAATTGCAATACACAATTAAAACATTTCTTTAAGTCACAAATTTTAATAAATAGTTTTATTATTATTTTTTTAATTTGGTCATAAATAAGATCTAGAATAAATGTCACCTGAGAGTTTTTCAAAAATACAAATTTACATAGATATAAATAAAAGAAATGCTTATATACTAAAGTAAAAATTTTGTTCAGCATTAGTTTTAGTTCTTCCTTCTGATCAAAAGTTTGAAAAAATAATACTTAAAATAAATTTTCGCGCAATAGACATTTTTAGTTAATTCTAACTAAATAGTTGTATTGATTATTATCGCACTAAATTTCGAATATTTAATACGGAAATTGGCGTGTAAAGGTATCTTTTGTTTGTATAAATAGCACGAAAAAGAGTTATAGTCACCGTGAAAGATTCTGGATGAAATTTGGGTAAAAAGATTTGGATATTTGTATGCAGAAAATCCTTAAAATCAATTTTTTTCAGTGCAGAAATAATTATCTTATTACAGTGATTCAGTAAATATTACTGTAAAAATTGCCATATATAAGATTTTTTGCTTCGTAAAGCTTTGCCCATAAAATAGATTTTATTGTATGAGGACAGTACTTGAAAGCTGGTAATTTTTATCGAAATTTTATCCGTAATTTTTTATAGTGTAGAATCTACACAAATAATTAAATATTTAAATAGAAATGCTTATTTTGTAAACTCACTTTTCCTTTAAAAACAATGCTAAATCATGATACGTAGCTAATACATTGTCGCGTCGTGCTACGTAGTCACGGAGAAGAATGTATTATATAATGGGAAAAGGTGCATAATTGTTCTCATTCGAAAAAAATTTTTTTTTATCCTTTTACCCGTCGCGAATAACAAAGTTTTATAACGAGTGATTTTAATTTAAATTAACAATTAATATTCCTTAAAACTCATTTTTAGTTTTCCAATATGATAAAAAATAACAATTTGTTTTGGTATCTGCTCTAACAAAGCAGTTTCTGTAAAAAGTATAAAAAAAAGTATCTAAAATTAATTCCTCTTTCAAGTTTCATTTTTAAAAAAAATTACCTCTTCGATATGAAGCACTTGATAAGAATGTAAGAATACAATCCACTGTGAGTAATCAAAAAATAAATATTACGATTTGTTCTTCATTCATTATTAGCATTATTAAAAGTATAGTTCTGACTAAAATTAATTTAACATTTCCGTATATTATCACACTAATAAAAAATATGCTACTTTTAAAATTATTCATCAAAATTAATAATTAAAAACAGTTCTGTCTGTTTCTTAAATTGAAATACCATTCGTAAAATGCATTATTAATTTCAATACTATGTTCTTTTAAAGTAATCATATTTGCCTTAATTCATAATATATAACAATAACAATATAGCCTTAGTTCCCATTACAAATTAATGACTTTATAAAAATAATAGTGAATTATTTTGTAAACTTTTTTCAAAGTTATCAGATTGTTTTAAAAAATTGTTACCACTCTCTATTTATTATAAATGAAATTATTATTATATTTCTTTCATTTCACTGCATCCTATGATAATAGAATAATTTTATTTTCTATTCAATTTTCGAAAATATTATCCTATAATAAAATTATTTTTCGTCGGTCACATCAAATGAATTTTAAAAGGATTTTTTATATAAAAGAAAAACATTTATTGAGAAATAACACGAAACCTCTTAATTTCAAATAATATTACATCGTACCCCACAAAGTAATTAAGTATGAAAAAAGATCGTTATATAAGTACGCTTTTAGCCATTGATTAGATTAGAGTCAGAATATAACTTAAATTTAATTCTCTCTAAATTTTAAGTGAATATTTGTGTTCCAAGTATGCAAACTTTTAATTTTCAATCAAGATTTTTCCAAATAGTTTTATTGCTATAAACAAACCTTTTACCGTTTTGAAACTTGTTTGGACTGTGGAATGGCTTTTTTCCTTTTATTCCTGCCTCAACATTTCGAAGGAAAATGTTTATGTATTTATTGTTTATAAGTACTGCTCAACGTTTTTTTAAAATTCGATTTCGCAGAAACTATGACACGTATTTGGCTTTTTTTGTTTTGCCTTTCAAAATCATATTTTTTAAATTGGTGCATGAAATTGTATACCTTGCTATTCAAAATTGTTTCAACTATTATTAAATAAAACAATAAATATTTGCTAAAAGTTATTTCTGGCAAGGATCTTTCTTTGAATAAATACATTTTACTAAACAAAATGTACAAAATTTTCAAATCACTTAAAGAGCTTTCGAGATATGGTGAAATGTGATAAAAGTAAAGTTAACATTAAGGGGTCATAACTTTGGACCGCTCTCCTGACCAAACTATTATGACTATATTTACCTAAAAAAAGCATGTTTGTTCGGAGAAAGTATGTTTTTGTTTCTGATTGCAAAACATAAATTATAGTCTGCATTTATTAATTAGCATATTTAATGTCACCGTTAAGTTAACATTAAGGGGTCATAACTTTGGACCGCTCTCCTGACCAAACTATTATGACCATATTTACCTAAAAAATGCATCTTTGTTCGGAGAAAGTATGATTTTGGTTCTGATTACAAAACATAAATTATAGTCTGCACTTATTAATTAGCATATTTAATGTCACCGTTAAGTTAACTTTAAGGGGTCATAACTTTGGACCGCTCTCCTGACCAAACTATTATGACCATATTTACCTAAAAAATGCATGTTTGTTCGGAGAAAGTATGTTTTTGTTTCTGATTACAAAGCATAAATTATAGTCTGCACTTATTAATTAGCATATTTAATGTCACCGCCTCGTATCATTATGATTGAGTTCTAAAACTTGAATATCCGTACATAAGTAAAAAATTTTTAGGGTGGTCCATATTTTTTATTTTGAGCACAGTGGGGGAGAGTGGAGTCAATTGTAACATTTTTTACTTAACTATTTTTAAGTAACAAAAATCCAATATGTTATTAGTATTAATTGACAGACGAGTAAAGTAGGCTCTCATCTACTAGAAAAAAATTAATACCTTATTTTAAATGTTATTATATTAGTTATTAACAATTTCTGACAGTTGTACACTTATTAAAATTGTCCCCACTTACAGGGTCAATCGTAACAGTTCATAAATTTAACTGAAACATAGTTAATTATACATATTATTATAGTTATGATATATTTTTTTATTGATCAAAGTAGTAGTGATATTTTAGGAGTAGAAATAATACTGAGTAAAGACCTAAAAGGTTAAACGTTTAACTTTAAGGGGTTAAAAATTTTAATTTATGCTGTGAAAGGTGACAAATAAAAATATGCACATGCAACATAATATAAATGATATAGGAAACTATTGGTGGTTCTTAAAGAGTTAAGTAATGGTTTGCAAACATAAGATTATTTATTTTCAGCTGTTACAATCGTCCCTTTACTTATTGTTACAATCGTCCCCAAGACTCCATTTCAGTTTCATTTGTTAAAAACAATGCTAGTTAATTAACAAAATTAATTTTTTTTACTGAAATGTTAATTAAGGTGTCCACTTACATATTCGGCTAATAATTTTTATTTGTTTAAGCAAAATTACTTTGTTACAATATAATATTCTAATACCAAAAAAAGTACTAAGGGAACATGAAAATTTGTGATGTAACTCTTTTAAAAGTGCATAAAAATGATTGCCATCAGGGGTGTACATGTAGATTTATAAAATACACCTTGTGCGTCACCTAGGAACCAAATCTAGAGCCTAACACTCGAAATTTTTGCCTTGTTACAATCGTACCCTGTTACAATTGACCCCACTCTCCCCTACATGTAATGCTATTGTTTATGAATGTAATTTATTATTTATGGAAATATGTTTATTAAATACTTCTTTTTTTCCTATTTCAGACTCCAACTTACATATGGTAAAGTCATACATTCCGATAAATATTTGTTGCTATGAATTTATGTGAAGCAACTGTTCTGGTGGGTGCTGATTTCAACTTGAATCTTATTGGATACAAGAGCTCAAAATTGAATGACCTAAAGATATCATTGTTAGGACGTGATATGAATTCGAAATCAATATACTTTGTCAACTAATGTATCCGTAGCATTCACATGCAGGCACGTTGATATTGTTTGTGGAAATCTTTGTGTGCTGTTTTATGTTGTGTTTGAAAATATTGTGTTTGAAAATATTGTGTTTGAAAAAATTGTGTTTGAAAAATTCCATGGTGGTACTATTGTGTAAATTTTGTTGATATAATATTTGCAGTGCTGGAAAGCTGCAAATTCTTTTTTGAAAAGAAGTTACTAGATATTTATAAGTCTATTGTACAGAAAAAAGAGCTGAAATTGATGATGTTTTATAGCTTTCAAAGTGTTAAAATGTGCATAAATGGAAATGTTATTGCTGTTTAAAATCTGAGGTCTATTTATATCATTATGGACACTTGTCATTGTTTTAAAATTCATGCACCCAGATTGTAAGATGTTTTGTATTTTACTTAATCAAAGATTACTTCCCATTGAAATGTCCACTCGTATGAGACATGATAATGGAATTTATTTTGGTTATACCTCTCTCCTATACTTTTTAGATGTTTTAGAGTATTATTTACAACAATTTTATTTCTTGCACACTTTGCAAGAATTTTATCCGAAAATCACCTTTGTAACCAAACATTTTAGCAACATACTAAATGTTTTACATTGGAAAAATGGATTTTTAATTTATGAATTAAGGTTTTGAGTTTTATGTTTCATGGATATTCTTTAGAAAATGAATATCGCTCAAAATAGCAGTGAAAACCTGTTTGTACTGTAAAAATAAAGAAACTTATAATAAACTTCTAATTTATGTTTCTTATGGCTTATTTATGGGATGAATCTCATTCACTTTATCTTTCACAGGAAACAGTGCCAAACCTGTGAGCTTTATTATTCCAAGGGAGCGCTGCCGTTGACTGTCAATTTTGTGCTTTATCTTACTAATCATATATACTCCTTTTTACATAATTCTACATACTTTGAATTATATATAAATTATTTAATAAATGCCTGAAATAAATGCATTTAAGGCCTATAATGCAAGACTTCCTGTTTTAGATATCTAGAAAATTACTCAAAATAATGAACTTATCTTGAAAACCATTCAGAGTATAAATATAAGGTGTAACAAATGTTTTGAAACTATCTAATGTCTCGAGAAATATGCATCGAATCGAAAATGTGAAACTAGGCGCTTTCAATATTTATTTAAAGTTAATCAATGTTACCAAACTTGACCTTCCACCTTCCTGGCCCTGGGGGGAGGGATTTTTTTAGAAAAATACCGAAATTTATTTATATATTTACTTATTTTTTTATATTTAAAGAGTCTTGAGATACTATCATTTAAAGAAATTTTCAACCCAATCTTAATTTGGTTACAACGCAATCTGAGAAGCAAGATGCATAAACCTCAAAGTCAAATCTTTTTTCAAGGCACTATAGCCTGTTACAGGTCAAGGCCGTTTTAAGCTGTCTTTGCCATCTGGTCTTATCAGCAACAAGGCTTTTCCAGTTTCTCCTGTTTACTATAAGAGAGCCATTCTTCACCGAGTCAAGTCACCTATTCACTAGGTCAAAAAGGGTTACCTTTTCCGGTAAATTCCGAATCAGCTACAAAAATAGGGGTTCATATTTCCCACTTGCTCCTGCCATCCTGACCCAAAGTTTGGGATGGCAGGGGCACAATACAAATCTTAAATATTAATGGCACAACTTACAAATCTGTCTTAAATATCAACTTAAAAATCTGTCTTACAACCATATGCATTGAAAATTGGCACAAAAGCAATTACATAGCAGACACTACTTAAAAATATGAATAAACTTGATATTTAAGACAGACTTACAAATCTGTCGTAAATATCATCTTGAAAATCTGTCTTAGAACCATAGACATTGAAAATTGGCACAAAAGACATTACATAGCTGACACTACTTAAAAATATGAATAAACTTGATATTTAAGACAGACTTACAAATCTGTCGTAAATATCAACTTAAAAATCTGTCTTACAACCATAGACATTGAAAATTGGCACAAAAGACATTACATAGCAGACACTACTTAAAAAAATAAATAAACTTTGAACTATAATATCAGTCACAGTCGCTACTGAACTGACATTGTTCAATACGCTCGATGGATACCAGCTTGTCTGGATAGTAAAGGTGGCCAGTGCGCAATTCTGACCATACTGCCACAAATACTCACTGTTAGACTCGAAAGTGTGGAGCCTTAACTTTCTAGATCCCTTGCCCCCCAACGGGCGGTTGTGAAATAAACTTTATTTCGTTTATAATATATTGTCTTGAACCATATTACGGGGTAATTTTTTCACAACCTAAATCAGACGTCAAATTGAATCAGGTTATTCGAATTCAAGGTCATTCAAGGTTATACTCAATTATTATACATATAAATTTAGGAAGTTAAATATAGTACAACTTTGCCATTATTAAAGTTGCAGCTTATTTGAATGATAATATTGTTTAACCTGCTCCAACATACGTAATAAGCACATAAACATAGAAGATAAACTATACATAAATCTGCACAAATAACTAGTTTAATACACATTTAACCATTAAAAAATACCTGAATTTATTGAAAGGAGTTTTTCAGAATAATAAACAATGAATAAATAAAATTTAAAAAACATTTTAAGCTTTTAGCATGACACCTAAAATTCTCTACCCATAGAAAAGGAGAGTTTCCTTGGTAAATATAAGATTTTCATAAAATAAAACTTTGCTGCTTTATACTTTATATATTAATTCATAAAATTCATTTCGAAAATGAAATTTCTAACTATTATGAAATATCCTGACCGAGAGCAAAGAAGTACATCTTTAGGCGTAGGTTTTGTGATAAATTTAATCGATAAGGCGTCACTTTTTAGCAATAACTTAGATCAATCATATTATTGCTGCGTATATTGGAAAACAGTCAAGTTACAAAAAAGATGCATTCAATTAACTAATGATCTATTCTTTTCGCAAAATGAATTATTCCTACAAAATAAGGAGTGGGTGCTCATAAATTAATTGGATAACACAGCTGGTTGAACTATGTGATTTATAATGAAGATCAATAATTTCGAAGAGAAATAGTCATGAACTTAGATCCCATAAAATCTATTAATAAAGTGCAAATTTAATGCCCCTTAATTAGCTGAACAAAGTTAAAATAATTTTTTTTATACAAAGGAATGTTTCATTAGGTATTATTATAAATTCCCATACTTTGCATAGCTTTATAATTATTTATTATTTAGTAACTAATAGTTCATGATTTTTTTTTACTTATTGAAGTTAATATATTTTGCGAAAATATATAAGATAATTAAATCTGAAATTTCTTTTGATGACATAGATTTTTTTTGTTTTGAAAACGTTCTTTTTTAAAGTTATTTTCAAGTTTATTTTTTCTGTCTTAAAACTTAACCTCTTCAAAACAATTGAGTTTCTGTAAAAATCTCGTAAAAAAATCGTTTGTAAAAAATCTCGGATCAAATTACGGTGAAAATTACCAGCACTCAGGTGCCTATATTTTTTTACTGTAAAATCTATTTTTACCGGAACATGTTCCGAAAGAAAGAATCTGATTTACTGTAAATTTTACGGTAATAATTATCTTAAAATCACTGAATCACTAACTAAATATATATTATTGTAAAAAGTACGGTATAATATTTTAAAATAAAAATGGATTTTATGGTAAAATGCATTTTACGGATGATACACCAAAAGTTCCGGTAACTAATACCGTATTTATTTTTTTACCGTGTGGATACATGTACAATACCTTATATTATGCACTATGGACGGTGGGCCAAAAAAACAACGGACACCCCTGAATAATTTTTGATTTAATGATCGGATCTTCACGTTCTGAGACTCTATCTTAAAGGTTCTAGAGGGTGGCCTCAGATATGCTAATTATTTAGTGCACACGATATTTTAAGTTGCGAAATCAGACATAAAATGTCGTATTTTTTGTTATTTTTTTAATAATAGTCGAAAAAATTTTGAATTGTATGGTATGTAAATTTTTACATCAATTAAAAGTGATTAATTTTACGTAACAAAATACAAAATTTGAGAGAAATCGATTGAATAGCTCCCTAGAAATTAAAGTCGCATGTTTAAAATTTGATTTCCCAGAAACTATTCGACCGATTTTACTCAAATTTTCTACTTTGCTATGTAAAATCAGATACTTTCAAATTATGTAAAAAAATTTATACCTTACAATTCAAAATTGTTTCGGATGTTATTAAATAAAATAATAAAAAAATAAAAAATATTTACTGGAATTTATTTTTGTGTGGAACTACCTTTGAGTAAGCAAATTTTACATTTGAGCGCAAAAATTTATCAATTTGCTTAAAAATTTTCAGAGATATGATGCTATACGCATGCCAAAAGTAAAATTACATTAAGTCCTAGGGTTAAAAAATTTGGAGTGTTCTCCTGTCCTAACTATGGAGACCATGTTTCCCAAATTTCGTTACCCCCTATATTTTGGGTGTTCAAAATCAAAGTCCCTCGAAAAAAAGGAGTGTTTATTCAGAGAAAGTACGTTTTTGTGTCTGATTTCGTAACTTTAAATATCATCTACACTAATTAATTAGCATATTCGAGGTCACCCCTCCGAACAATTTATAATAAGTACTATAACGTGATGATCCGATCATTAGACCAAAAGTTATTCAGGGTGATCTGCACTGTACATTGTACAAAATTTTTTATATAGTTGCCACCAGTTTGGTGTTGAGGTAAAGTAAATAAATTTTTTAAGTGCAGAACCGCGGTTATCGAGCAAAACAATTGACAAAATGGCAATTGTTTGAAAGAGTTATTGCGAGTATTAAAATAAAAATACGCTCTCTTTTTAATAAAAGCATTTTTAAATGAAGCCATTAAATTAATTACAATGCTCTTGAAGGCATGTGTTGTAAGTAAACAAACATACAAACAATAAAAGGATAAACATATCAATAAAACTAAAACTGTTAGGTTTTTAGCGAGGTATTTCTATAATATTATGCCCTTTAAAGCATATCATGTATTTTAAGTACCTTTTAAAGTAGGACGTATACACAAAATATAAGAACTTTAATGCACATTATCCAGTTGAAATAGGTTTTACTTAATTCCAGAAAAAAAATATCACATTTTCAAATTTTTATGTAAACCAAATTTTTACATTTTCATGAATTAATAGAGGTACTTTAATTATTTTTTCAAGCCTGCAAAACTATTTGTTTCAGTTTAAAGCAAACGCCTCATAGTCAGTACACTAAAATAAATGCAACAGAGAGGGCAAATTAGGTCAAACTTTTTCATCATGAAGACGCCATTATTTTCTAATAAAGCATATTTGATTTAATTGCTAATTGCTTATTTAATTGCTTAAATTGCTAATTTAATTGCTTAAATTGCCAATTTAATTGCTTAAATTGCTTATTTATTTGCTTGAATTGCTGAAATTGCTAATTTAAGTCAAATTTTGTTGGGTAAGGAGCAAGAAGAATCAAAATTTTATATATTTACCTTCTTCATGAAAATAAATTATCATCGTTTAATAAATTCTCTTTTGTTCCTTTTCGTTCGTTGAGCTTATATAATCTGTTTTATGAAATTCAATATTTTAATATTATTCATTAACTACAGCGTTAAGGACAAGCTTTCACATGAAAAGTTTTAAAAATAATAATTTTGCTTACTTTTTCCATCTTCTATATTTCGCAATTC